TTCGAAGGTGGTATAAAATTTTGAAATATTACACTAAAAACATAATATTACAAAAGTTTACGCTCTTAAATTTAAATAATTATAGTAATTTAAGAATATCTCACTATCTACTGATCCAATCAAGACGATCTATAGCTCATTGGAATCAGCTTATTAAGACGAATCAAATAGTGGTAAAATCGCATCTTTACGTTTGATAGATGGCTTTCTATTAATTTAAAACTTTATTGTATATTATAGAGCGTTCTATCAACTGTAGAGATGCGATTTTACTACCATTCGATTCGTCTTGATGAGCTGATTCCAATGAGCTATAGATCGTCTTGATTGGATCAGTAAATAGCGAGATATTCTTAAATTACTATAATTATTTAAATTTAAGAGCGTAAACTTTTGTAATATTACGTTTTTAGTGTAATATTTCAAAATTTTACACCACCTTCTAAATATTACACTAAATTACGCCTAAACAAATTTCCTGATGTATAAAATCAAAAAAAAAATGCCAGAACTAATAATTCTAGCATTTTTACATGTAAAATAAAAAAAATGCCAAAACAAATAGTTTCAGTATTTTTATATATAAAAACAAAAATAAATGCCAGAATCTAACATTTTTTCAATAAAAATTAAAAAAAATCATTTTTTTTTACGTCAAACTTGATGTTTTTTGTATAATTAATAAAAAAACATTATAAAATATTTTTTTATTTAAAATATTTATTAATAAAACTTTGGGTAACCTAGGTGACTTGAATATTTTCAGGTTAAATGAGTCAGATCAGATTAGAATGGTTTATCCAACCCGACTTGACTTGAAAAAAAATTTCAGTTCAAATTAACCAGGTAATCCAACCTGATCTGACTTGTGCAGAGTTCTATACATAATACCCTGAAGAAAAAACTCAGTAAAACATTTATCGTAATTCTTGAACTCTCTCAAAGTGTAAAAGCAACTATAAATAAGGCCTAAGTGTTGAACCAAGTATTGTTTAAAGAGAAACTATTGAAGATTATTTCTATAAATTGAATTAAACGTAAGCCTATATTGAAAGTCAGGTGATCTGGTAGGTTTTCAAAAAGTATTATCCAATTCAATGTTATTCCCAAAATAAAAGTCATGCTGACAGATTTCAAAAAGTAGTGAGAAACGCGTTCAGTTTCTAATGTGATATATCCCAAAATCATTTAAAAAGTTTTCTAATCAGAAATCTGGCAAATAGAAAAGATCAGTTTGAAGGAATAAACAATATTTGTCATATTAGAGGGTGTAAAGGAGTCGTGTTTGAAATGTTTCAGAAGATTAATAAAAGTTTTTTAGAGATATTTCTTGTAAAGGTGTTTTGTATGTTGTGGAATCGTTATATACTTCTTGATAGCATCTTTTAGTATCTTGAAGAACGTAAATCTGTTGGTGTAAAGATGTATTATTATAGAAATATAACAAAGTCTTCAGTAATAAGGTTTTTGTTGTAAACTCTTTTCATATCCAAAAAAAAATAGCTTAATAATCTTGAAGCCGTATGTTAGTCTTTATAATATTGCTGCTTAAGTTTGTTTCATCTTTGCACATTCTGTCTTTTAGTTTTCTTTCTGGTGTACTTTCAGTTCAACATTTTTATCATTTACCTTTACATCAAAGATTTTTATCCAGTTTAAAGAAAAATAAAAAATTACTAATACTAAAGAAAAAAGTGTTTTAAATAAGAAAGTTTATAAAAAATAAAAGAAAGTTTAAAGAAAATTATTAATAAAAATGAAAAAAAATAAAATTTTATTATTGTAAAAAATGGTTATGAAAGTGACCAGAAAGAATTCTTCTTCTAATATAAACCTTCAGTTATTATTAAATCTATTTCTTTATAGATATATTTGAGTTTTTTTTTTTTTTATGTTTTAGGAGACATCATCATAGCCGGCTTATCAAAGCTACGTGGAGGGAGCACCAACAACTAAGGTCGCGGTAAAACATTCCTACTGTTGAGCAATAAATAACCAAGCAACCTACTCTAATTATTTAGAAGTAATCGGATGTTCATCCCCCCTATTTCTATATACCACACTGGGAAGACAACTCAAGTTTATATTCATACAGAGATGGATCGCAGTGTAGCAGGGTTCCTGATAGTAATGCTACCTATTAGCGCTGATCAGGAGTGAGTAATCACCCATATACGGCAGATATAACGGAGCAGACATCTAGAAGTCCTTCTATGATGGTTAGCTTAGAGGTACTGCAATACTAAGACTACTAATACAGCCTCACTCAAAGTCCACTACAGGCCGTGATTACTATACCAGCCCACCACAGTTGTAAATCCCCCAGTAGTAATAGCAGTGACTACCAGAACAGTAAGCTACTAAGGGTACTGGAATCATCCCTTTATTATAAGTAACCAACCCAGTTACCCAGAGATCACCCACCAGTACATTAAATTCACTAAAGAATCGAACCTCACCTTAGAACCTTATATATCTGTGAGCCTACGAACGTCTCCAATCAGCCTAAACCTATTAGAAGGTAAACTACTGCTAAGACATTGTACTTGAGACTTTACCATCTATAAGTACCATCTAGCATAGTAAAACCTCCACAGTAAAGTTTACCACACCCTTAGTGGTATCATAGAGTAACCACCAAAACAAGAGCTCATCCAGGTGGTATGCAAGCAGTGACCACCTAAATAGGATAATAGGCTTCCCAATGGCCTTTTAGGAAATGCTAGAATGATATCATGACCCTTTGTTAAAATATGCTGCCAACCGGTACATACTAATTCACCATAATGCAGTCCAGCCTACACTAATCCCTGTACCTTCACGCTATTGGTAGTAGCGTCTGCAGTAAAATTCTTCCAATTTCTGTAATCAGTGGAATTGAATCTGTGACCTCACCATACTCAGGTTTCATAAAAGAACTCACAGACTAACCAATGACACAGGTCAAAAAGTGAAAAATCAGGCACCAATCGGTGACAGGTGACTGATTGGCATTTTTGCCAAATATCGTCACCAATCAGGCAGTTTGCTAACTTTTGATCCAGTGATCAGAAAAAGATGAAATATATCTCATTAGAATCGTCTCAACAAGACGAATCTAATGGTAGTAAAATCGTATTTCTAGGATTAATACTTGAAGAAAAATTAAGTAAAATATAAAAATAAAAATGTATCATTTATATTTTATTTAATTTTTTATTAACTATTAATCCTAGAAATGCGATTT